GCAGGCAGTGGGCACAGCGGGCAGAGGGCACAGCACGCAGAGGGGGCACAGCGGGCACAGCGGGCAGAGGGCACGCAGAGGGCACAGCACACAGAGGGGGCACAGCGGGCACAGCACGCAGAGGGCACAGTGGGCAGTGGGCACAGCAGGCAGAGCGGGCACAGCGGGCAGTGGGCACAGCAGGCAGAGCGTGCACAGTGGGCAGCGGGCACAGTGGGCAGGACTGAGCCCCTCACTAGCATGTTTCCCACTTCCCTGCATTGTCGTGGGTCGGGCTCGTCCCTGCTTCGGACTGAGCAATATTCCGTGTGTGAACGGCCGTTGGGGGCGGCTGTCCGCTCCTTGGTGACGGACAGTTGAGCTGTTTAACTTTCTGGCCACGGAATCGCGTGCGTGAGTGCCCAGGCACGGGGTCTGTTTGGACACCTGCAGGCAGTTCATTCACGGCCGAGGAGCCGCCCGCAGGTGTGAGGCGGCTGGAGGACGCCCGGGGGGAGGGTGGCTCCGTGTCCGGGTGGACGCCTGCGGCCTGCACAGAGGAGCCCCTTAGGGCCCCCGGGAGAACGACTCACTCACCTGATGAGGTGGGTGGAGGTCAGAGGTCAGGACAAGGGCGGTGGGGACCGGCCGGGAGCCACAGCTCCGACTTCGTACGAAAGCCGTGAGCGTCTCCCCGTGGCACCGGCACCATGGAGGGTTCTGGAAACCCCCTCGCATTCCGAAGCGAGAAAACAAACAGCAGGTGGGCCCGAGGGCGGGCGGCCCGGGGAGCCCGTGAGGCACTGTGATTGCTCAGAGGTGACGTGTGTGAGGCCAGCGAGGCACGCGGTTGGGGGGCAGGTGACGAAGGAGAGATTCAAATGCGCGGGAGGATCGGGAGCGGCCGGCCCTGTCAACAGCGTCCCAGCCCCTCACCCTGCGCTCGGTGATAGTTACGACGCTACGACGCGTAGGAGCGGGACATGGCGAGACGCCTCCCTCAGACGCCTCCTGTCCCCACCAGCCAGGCAGCTCAGTGTCCGGGGAGAGGGGCTCCGTTCAGGGGGCAGGAGTCTCATACCCGGGCCTTCACCTCCCTGTGCCCGACCCTGGGGCTCCCTCCGTCACTGGGCCAGCGTCCCTTCTCCCCGTGTTTCCTGAGCACCTACTGTGTGCAGACAGTTCCAGACGCGGAGCAGACGGTCCCTCCTGGCGCCAGCCCGGGAGGTGGACAGGAAGCGGGCGTGTCTCTAAGGAGCGTTGGGCGAGTCCGTGACGCCCGCCCGCAGCCGTGTGTCTCTCCTCACATTACTAGTATTTCTGATCTTTCTGTTGAGTTTTTGTTGTTGTTGTTGTTTGTTATTCTCCCCACCCACTTTGCCCTGGTATTCAATAGTCTTCCTCTTATGTAGGCATCTGCTCCCAGTGCGGGTGGGGGACACCCCTGGGCGTGGAGCAGGCTCCGGGCCGGGCGCCTTTCCTGTCGCCAGCAGATGCCAAGGAGGTATGGCACCCCCACTGCAGCCCATCCCCCACCACAGCCCATCCCCCACCGGCCTCCCTGCCCGCCCGTCCCCCAGGGGCTCCTGAGCAGCAGGGGTGCGGTGGGGGGCCCAGGGGTGCGGCTGCTGACTCCCAGTCACTCGG